TATCTAAATGCTGTTGTCTCTTGCTTATATTTTTTAAAAGAATGCTTACTTTACTTTTTAAATAATTTTTATTGGAGTATAGTTGATACACAATATTCTTTGGTTTCAGATGTACAACATCATGACTTGATGCTTACACGTGCTACTAAATGCGCACCAGGGTAAGGGTAGTTACCCCGTTACTGCACTGAGATTTTACAGTATTATTACATTCTCCGTGCACCTAGCTCTAAAGTTCTCCCCATTGGTCTGCGGTGCATCTGGGTGGGGCCTGGGGCCGAGCCCCCCCTCGCCCCTAATGGGACGAGCCAACAGCCTGGACGGCCCAGCATCTTTCCTCCAGGTTCCTTCCCTGTGCCCTGGCACACCTGCCCTTCCCCGCACTAGCCCCCCCAGAACACTGTTTCTCTTTAAGTGAGGAGTCATTCACACCAAGTCAAGTCACTCGTCTTTTGGGTACAGTTCAGTGGATTTCTACCTATGTCTGCAATCCCATAATCTGAACACCCCTCCAAATCTACATCTAGAGCATTCCCAGTACCCCAGAGGCTCCGCCTACCCCCTCCCAGCCTGCAGCCGCTGTTCCTCTGCGAGCAGGGCGCAGCCACCCTGGATTTGGACGGTGTAGGGATGGGACCACACCACGGGCGCACCTCTGAGCCCGGCGCGTGTTCATCCACGTGGTCGCTGTATTGAGAGTCTGTCCCTCGCCACCATGCAGGCCTCCTCCCTCCCCTTGTACCTGAATGTGTGGGAATCTGCACGGAGCTGGTCTCTGCTCCCCCTGCAATGGGGGAAGAGCGACAGACCAGACATACCGATGACAGACCGTCTGAAGGCGCAGACCTTCCATAAGGTGGAGGGACAGTGCGGCTGGTAACACACTCCTGTTTACATGCATTGAAGTTCATATTTTTAAAACAATGGCACACATTTAGTCAAAATTCTTACACATGAAGGGACTCACTAAATGCACTAGAATGGCTGCCATGTGGCAGGAGGGCCAGAGGGGAATGAACAGGTGGGGGAGAGGCCCGGACTGCTTGTCCTTGCCCAGGGGTCCCACCAGCAGCCCCCTCTGCTCTGAGGATGAGCCCTCATCCTGGAATGTGAGGAGCATTTCCTCGCGTCATCCAGTAAGAGCTGTGCCCCTGAAGTCCCCGGGTCAGTGGTGGCCCTGGACATCTGCATGCATTTCCCTGGCATCCTCTCTCGTGACACCCTTCAGAAAGAGGTGCCCTTCCCTTGAGGAAACGGCTCCTGCCCTCCGCCCGGAGCCTGCTGAGCTGCAGAACCCCACGCCCAGGCCTCCGGCTCTCAGCACCTGTCACACAGGCCCCCCTCTCTCCCTTCTCCTCCCTCCCTCCCACCAGCCTGTGCGTGGTGAGCGGGCGGCTGAGGTCCAGCCTGGGCCGAGACTCCAGAGCCCACGGAAGCCGTCTGCTAAGTCAGGAGCATGAGCAGCTGCTCTGAAGTTGGAAGAGGGCGGCCCACAGGCTCTCCGGCAGCAACGTGAACTGGAGGCTGCGACCAGGGAGGAGCCTGCCCCCTTCAGGGCTGTCCCCGAGGACCAGGTGCCCCCTCAGTGCAGATGTGCCCCCAGCTGGGGTGGAGGCCCCGAGCGGCACACGCAGAGGCTGGCCTTTGCCACCTGACCAGGTCTCCGTCCAGCTTTGAGCCTTTTTCACCTGAGTCAAACACAGTGAACTTTGGGTCCTGCCTTAAGGCCGAGCGGCTCAACCTATGGAATCGGACCTTCCTCGGTCACTCTACCCTTGACTTAGGGCAACAGAGTTTTCAGCAACATGCACGTTAGTAAAATTGAAATGTGTAACTTTGGTGTCTTCACAGACAACCACTGAAGGGAAGCTCAGTCGTCCAGGACCTTGGGGCGGGCGCCTGGGGAGGAGGGCGGAAATGGCCCGGGTCATAGTGTCAGACCCGGGTCCCCAGCGCCGTTGCCCCCTGGCCGTGCCCACCGGCAAGTCCTGCCTTCGGGAACCTGCTCTTCCCCTTCGACGGGCAGATGTTAATCCTTGTCCTTGAGGGCTGTCACTCGGCCAGAGAGATTCCCATCAAGTGCCTGGCCCTTGGCAGACGCGTGTTTGATTGTGTCTGACACCCGTTGTGAAGCACACTTCTTTTAAGATGTGCTTTAGCATTTCTTCTGTGTGATGTAGGGAAGGTGTTTGTGTCTGACGCCGGGGTTCATCGCCACCATCTATTTCAGCGTGGAGAGAGTCACCGTGACAAAGATGGTTTATTTTGCATTTCTCCCCACTTGTACTTTTTGATGCATTCTCTTTGGACAATTGTGATCCATTTGGTTTGGGGCCAAACAATAGCTTAGCTGAAACAGAACGTGCTTTTAACATTACTTGATATCCAGCCACACAACTTGAACTCAATTAAGCCTGTTCTAGGACACTTGTCCATGTGTGTTTCATAATGGAAAGTGGAGTGAATGGGAAAGCAATCAGTATAAATATGGAAAGCGGACATACTCATAAGCATCAGGTCACTGCTGGAAATTAAAAAGCAAGCACAGAGGCCCGCTGCTCCAGCTGATACATGGCAGAGGCTCCGTGGACTCGAATCAGGTGCTAATTAAGGCTGGGCAATAATGGGATCAATAGAGAGAGTCTGATTACCTTGCTGAATCTGAAAGTGGGAGGGCACTGCCCTCATGACAATGGTTAATTTTCTTTTTGGAGTTCAAAGGTACAGACACTGGGGCTGTTATTGATAAATCGTCAGACGCCTAGGCACACATTAATTTCCACCGGCCATCATGAGCAAGGTGGAAATGGATGCACAGCCCTGGTAGAATTAAATGCATTTTTCATCATCAGTGAACCTTGGAGGAGAAAAAGGCTGTAGGGACTTTAATAAGGAGGAGGGTCTTCCCGGCAGCCTGGCTCTCCGTCAGCGTGGGCACAGCGCCTGGGTGTCCTTCTAGATCCAGCTCTCCTCTGCCCCGGGGACATGGGGAGCAAGGAGCTTGCTGGGGCCATGGGAAGGGGGTGCTGGATGTCATCAAAGCCCTCAGCAGAGGGACCCACCACTTACTCCCCAAACGGCGCTCGGTGACCTTGGCATTAGCCCTCTGCCCCTCACCTCACCTGCCAGAAACAGCGGTGAAAACTGCCTCCCAGAGGCCCTCCCAGCACGACCCAGGGCTCAACCCCCGGCACCACCCGAGAAATGGAAGCCCCCTCTGACCTTCACGGCAGCAGGAAGACAGCGGCTTTCCGGTTCTGAGATGCCATGCTGGTCACATCTTTGACCAGTGCACCACTCAAGTCCACCAGCTGCGTGGATCCCGACACCACTACTGAACAATGTCTTATGAAAGATTTGTTATTAAGACACGGTATTACTCAGGGTGCCGGCTGGAAATCAATGATAAAGATGGTCGATGCCACCCCTGTTTCCAAAGATGCAGAAGGGAACCCAATGGTGGGAGGAGCCCAGGGCCAGAGCAGAGGGAACCTTATCCCCCCACCCAGAGGCCTGGGCAGGAGCCTTTTCCTCCCTGGAGGGAGTGGCTGCGGTTGTAGGGCCTGTGGCAGGGGCTCAGTGACCCTGGCAGTCGGTGCCCACTTCCTTCTTCCGTCCTCTATGTCTTTCCCATCCTCACTTTAGCTGAGCCCACCTGGGAGCAGGACACAGGAGAGCCTGCAGGTGTGGTCCCACAGGTCAGCCTGCAACACACAGGGCAGATGGTGGGTGGGGGCGGAGCTGGAGGGGCCGCAGGAAGGTGGGCACCTCCCCCTCAGACCCCAGACCTGGCCTGCTTCCCCCAGGCATCAGCACAGGTGAACAGCTGCAGGTAGGCCTTTTCCTGTGTGCATTACCCCTGCATGCACCAAGCTGGGGCATTGGTGGGGCCTGGGCTCAGGCTGACCCCATCAAGCCTTCTGCTTCCTTCTGTAGACCCCGGCTATTCTAGAATGTTCTCAACAGGGGAGCAGGCTTCTCTCTGCTGATTTGATGAGGCCTCAGGGAAACACCCCTTTTTAGTAAGGGACTAACCCCCTCCATACGGCCTCCTCCTGGTGACCTAGGGCAGGATGTTGGGTCAGGTGTCTAACTGAGCAGACGCAGGTGCACACCACCAACAACCAGCCTTGTGTTTGTGCGAAGGCCAGAGCTGAAGGCTATGCTCTAAGGACAAGGGGGTGATGGGAAGAGAGGAGAGGACTCGGGGGCGGTGGTTAGTTGGCTTCACAGAGGGACTGGGCTTGCCTCTTGCCCTCACCTCACCTGTCAAAGATGTGTTCACTTCATGTTCATCTAAGTGCGAGTTTAACCAGGTGCCCTGCAGTCATCTGGTAGCACAGACTAGGAGAAGCGGGGACCCCCGACAGGAACGCCCAGGGGCCCCAGAGGCACAAGGGCTGTAACACGTTCCTCTGGCCAATGTTCACTTACAAATCCTCCTCTGCTTTGCAAATAATGGAGAAGGCAGTGTGGTGTTCATGGTGACTAGACCCGGGTGCGAGCACATGGCTTCCACGCTGGTCGGCACACACATGGTGGCTGTTTGTTTGCTCGGGGTGTGGGTTGGGGTCTCCAGTCCTCCTTTGGAAGGAATGCACACTGCCCGTCCTCAGCATGACCCCTGCTCAGGTCAAATGCTGCTCTGAGTCTTGTTTCTTTCCAGATGGAGGGAAATCTAGGGCTGTAGGCCGGAGGGTGTCCCTCATGGAAGGAAGGGTGGGCTCCTGTGCTCCACAGTGGGGGGGGCCTGCTCCTCCACTGGGTGCACACAGCATCCACAAAGAACACATGCCTGCTTGTCTTCAAGCAGGAGGTCTGTCCCAGGCCAGCCGTGCTGGCTGGTGACAACCTATGGCAGGCTACAGTTTGAGGATATGCATTTGCCTGCACATGAAGTGGGCCAGCCACCACTAGGAATCCTGCCAGCTGTCCTCAGACCAGCTTCTGGAGCCACCTGCCCCCGTCACAGATGAGGTCCAAAGTGCTGCCAGCTCGGAGATGCCAGAGCAGGCCTGGCCCGTGTCATCTGGCAGCGGCAGGCAGGGGCCCCTGGTGCCGCCTGATCCAGGACAGATTCCTTAGCTTTCGGGGCCTGGCCTCGGTGCCCTTTCCAGCCCGTCCCAGCTCCATGTTGGTGTCCTGCCCCAAACACCACTGTTGGGCCAAGTTGCTTTGGGGAACAGGGCAGCATATTGTCACCAATCTGACTGGGGAAGCGGCCAGAAGTCTGGCAAATCCGGGCTGCCAGGGCGACCTGATTAGGAGAGATGGACAGCCCCAGCCGTGCCCTCATGCAGGCCTGGCTCTCTGCTGCTTCCAGCTCTCTGCTCCATGGACGCGGTCCGAGCGCCAGCAGCAGGGTAATGGGGACGTGGGCGGACGCTGGCGGGGAAGCGCTCGGCCGCAAAGGTCAGGCCTGCCCCTGCCTTGCCTTCCTCATTAGGCCCAAAGGTGTAAATCTGCAGAGAGATCAGTAAGTACCTGGGGTGAGCCCACAGACAGGGCTGCAGGAGGGGACCCCGCTCGCCACAGGGGGCCGGCTGGGGTGGGCCGAGGGGGTCTGGGAGGCAGCCTCCACTGCTTGGCATGGTACAGCTTAGGAGCATCCGTCCTCTGTACCTCGGTGTCCCCATCTGCAAAATGGGGATAATGCGCCTTCCCAGGGCAGGGCGTGGGTTAGGCGGCAGTCTGACGGTGTGTCTGGTAGCTACAAAGGCAGCACACGGTACCGTGACAAGGGAGGGAGCCCTGTGTTTGCCGTGAGAGCCCACGTCTGGGGCCACGTTTTGCATGCCAGAATCCCGAACGCGATGAGTGTCTCCGGGCCTCCCTGCTCAGAACCTGGAAGAGCCAGCGGCTTGCTGGGGGCAGGTGCAAAGGGAAGCTGCTCCTGGGCAGTGGGAGGAGGCGGCCCAGGGCAGGCAGAACACGGGGCGTTACCTGTGCAGAACCTAAAAGCAAGAATAAAACGTAAGAAGAGCCGGCGGGCTTTACTGTCACTTTTCACTGGCAATTTTGAACACCTCAGTGATACAAATACCCCTGCCCATGGGAGACTTTTTGTTAGTCTAGGTTCTAAACAATTACTCTATTTACTGCTGAGCTTTAACTGTACATGTGCACACATACACACACACACACACTCACACACACACTCATATATACACACAGACACACATATACACACACTCATATATATACACAAACACATAGATACTCACACATACTCATAATATACATATACACACACATACACACATACACACATATACATACACATTTATACACATACACAAACTTCAAATCCACTTATATTTCCTCAACCTTTAAGCAGGGCTTTCTCCAAGTGGACTTTGATTTTTAAACCCCCAGTTACAGAGCTGGCCCCACACTTGTGCTCATCACGTGGGCTCATTTTGAGTGGAAGCTCACGGCAGTGTGGCAGAGTGCCATCTCCCTCAGAGCACAGACCCGCCCTGCCGCCCAGGGCACCAGGCTTGAGACAACTGAGTGGAATTTGAAATCAGCAGCCACACAGAATGAGTGTGACAGGGACGTCCAGAACATGAGGTCCCTCCATTCTGTGGTTCCTTGGGACCGCCTAAAGTTTCCATTTGCATTTAAACCTTAGAACAGGGACACAGCCTGCAGGTGGCCTGGTGTGCGATTTGTTTAGTATGTGCAGATTCATTTCATGCATGAACTTTTCATTGAGTAGTGTTATCTTTACAAAGGAAATCTATTCTTTTAAAATTGTGAGTTGTTTTATAACAAAAGAATGGGTCAAAGTTATAACATGATTATGACTGAGAATAACTTTGGAATTGAGGGGAGGGGACAGTTCAAATGACTCCCTTTGGTGTCAGTCTGTCAGGAGCACCTGTGTAGTTGGCTTTATCCTGGGGTTGGGGCCCACACAGGGTAAGGGGACCTGTCGTCATCTGGAGGGGTTGACCAGTGGTTTGTGTCACTAGATATGTACCTGATCCCCATAGTTCTCATCAGACCCTCAAAAGTGTGTTTTCTCAAAATAGACGGGAGAAAATCATGAAATTCATAGTGGGGCTGGGCCTTGTAGCAGGGGTCCACCCTAAGGTCACCTTCAGGCAGGCCAGAGAAGGGCAGAGCCAAACAGCATTCAGAGGGCTTTGTTCCTAGACACACAGTGCCTGGAGACAGAATGCCTGCATGCTGAGCGGGAGCCACTTTCAGGACCTGCGGGACCCCGGGAGGTCTGAGTCTCTGGCCACCAGCACCTGCCTGACCTTCTGAAGGAAGGTTGGGTTTAAGCTAAGGTTGCCAAATAAAGCACAGGATGAACAGTTAAATTTGAATTTCAGTTAAAATTTCAGTGAATGTTTTTTAGTATAGTTGTGTGTCATGCAATATTTGGGGCTTAATTATGCACCAAACTGTGTCCCCAAAATGTGGATGTTGAAGCCCTAACCCCAGAGGGGCCGTGTTTGAAGACGGGGCCTTAGAGAACTAATCAAGGGTAAATGAGGCTCAAGGGGGGGCCCAGATCCGACTGGACTTTGCTGGTGCCTTACACTACATGGAGGGGTTTGCTCTCTGTCTGCAGGTGCACAAAGGTGAGGTCATGTGAGGACAGCAAGTGGCGGTGGGCTCCAGCCTTAGAACGAGCCCTACCCGGCCAGCCCCTTGACCCAGATTCCCAGCCTCCAGAATGTGAGACAATACCTGACTTTGTTTAAGCCACCCGGTCTGTGGCCCTTTGCTGCGGCCGGAGCAGGCTGGGACTGGGTGGCACTAGAAGGAAGCGGGCAGCCGGCTGGGCCGCTTCTCCCTGAGAACATCCCTATTCGATACATGAACACATGGCCGTAATCCCCCCAAAGTGAATGCGTGCGGGCCAGCAATAGCCAGAGGCTGGACGCAGCATGCGGAGGGTGGAATGTCAACCCTTCAGGCGACTCCACAACCTACCCCCACAACCTGGAATGGGAGCCTTCCTGAGAAAAAGGTCTTTGCAGACATAATTAAATTAAGAATCTTGAGATGAGATTATTCTGGATTCAAGGGGCCTGCAGTCAGCGACAAGGCCCTTATAAGAAGGGGAGGAAGATTAGACAGCAGGGAGAAGGTGAAGATGGAGGCACAGACGGGGGGTGGATGTGGCCGCAAGCCCAGGAGCCCGCAGGAGCTGGAAGAGGCAGGAAGGACCCTCCTCCGGAGCCCGGGAGGGAGCGCGGTCCCAGCACCACCTTGGATTCGGACCTCTGGCCTGCAGGACTGAGCTGCTGTAGGCCACCAGGCTTGTGGAAGCTCACGCACGTGGCATACAGAGAACTGTAGGCCTCTGTGTGCCCTCCTTACAGGAAGTGGAGAAGACCAGCCCTGCCACACATTATGGGTGGTTAGCAAAGAGAAAAAGAAATAGGAGGGCATCGGGACATGATGGGCAGTTCTAGAGAGGTGCCAGCGAAGGGCAACCGCTTTCCATTCTTGTGCAGCCAGAAGCTGTCATACCCTAAATGGACACTTTCTTGCATTTCCAGAAAATAGTCAAACATGTACAGAAATCATCACATTTTCAGTGAGCTAGAGGTTGAGGCTTCTGTTCCAGATGATTAATCAGACTTTATTTGCCTCCCAGAGTTGGACTGTGTGTGGTTTTGGAAGTGGCTTCAGATTTTATGTACCATCTGCTGCATTTTTAATAGTGGACAGATCGAGTTGGCAGCTAAGAAGGAGAGGTAAGGGTCCCAGCAGAGGGACCCCAGAGGCTCCGACGTTGGATTCTCGGGGACAGGCGTGTGTGGAGGTGGCCGTGACGGTCCTCGTCTGGGAGGGAAGGCGGCCCTTCCCGCAGCCCCCCAGCCTCCCCGGAGCTGGGCCAGCTTCCCAAGCGGGCAAGGTCCGCTCAGACGGCCAGGCCAATCATCAGACTTCATGTTCACACTCAAATTACGTTGGATGGGCAGTAGCTTGGCTGGGGGGTTTCAGGCTCGTTCCTTCTGTGCGTAGAAGCTGCAGGGGCGGTGTTGACCTGAAGAGCCGTGAGCGTCGGCCTGGATTCTCTGCTTTCTCGTGGAGCAAGTTCTAAAGATGTGAAGGCCTGGCTCATTTCAAGGATGTGCAGAGGGGAGCAGAATGGAAATCCCGACTGTATCAGTTATTGGAAAGGCGGCATGAAATGTGCTTTCCAGGGGGGGCGGTCAATGCCACGCTCTTGCTTTGGGGAAGGGAAGTGCATGAGGCAGCGACCCCAGCATATGCGCCTCGTGGGCTCGGCATTTCCCTGCCCTGGTGCCGCTGGGGCCCCGAGGGAAGCCTGGGGTATAGTGGGGCTCCCTAGGAATGGACCACAGTGCCTTTTGCAACAGCATGACAAGGTAGGGAAGGGACCATCTCCTGAGACCCGCATGGAGCATCTGCTTGGCCCCTCCCCTTCTCTGCACTGCAGTTTCCAGTCTGCAGTAAGGCTGGTGCTGCATAGGGTCCCAGGTGGCCTCTGACAGACACCCTTGTGCCCCACCTGCACGATCTACCTTCAGCACCTAGGGAGTGTTATTTCCCCAAACAGAGAGAAAGAAAGGGAGGGACAGAATTTCCTCAGTGCATCGTGTCCCACCTGCCTGCACCCTCGAGGCCCAGCACTGCCTGTCTCTGGCAGACCCCAGCGCACAGAGGTACCTGCTTTCCTACAGGTGAAGCATTTCAGTTTCTCAAGTTTAATAGACCACGATTCCATAGAGTTCTCTGGAGCACGTTACAAATTTTCGGACTCCGTAATCACGCAAGTCCCTCTTGGCACTGGTTTTCTGCATCCCAGAGACACGCTAATGGTTTTTCTGTCCCTCACTTGTGATTCCTGAAACTTCATAGAGACTGTGCCCTTTGACTGATGCATCACCTTAGAGCCACAGAACGTCCTCAATAAGGAACTGCTGCATTTCGGCTTGGGGCAGGGAAGGCGGGGGGGGGTTGCATTTTATATCACTTTTTAAAAACAGGAATTCTTCTCACTGTCTTTGTGTGTGTATTGCATGCGGCGGGAAAGCTGGATGGTGAGACAACGAGGGCAGGGGCAGATGGCCCCGAGCCCCGATGCCCGCAGACCGGTATGTGGGTCAGCCGGGCTCCGTGGGATGGCCGTCTCCTGCCCCCAGGACTGTTGTGGCAGAAACGTCACATTTCCAGGAAAGGATGGAAAGTCCACATCCTAACAACGTAAGCCAGTAACCAGGGGAAGGAAGAGGCCCCCACCCAAGACATGATGTGTGTGGGTGTGCGGTTTTGTCAGCGATCGATGGCTCTGTGCTTGATTTCCTGCTCTGTCTCGGCAAGCAGCTACTGGGCACTGCCTCCGTGCAGACTGCTTCTTAGGCTCCAGGACACTGAGTGAGAAGGTAAAGGAGCTCAAGAAGAAATCCTGGGGTGGGGAGGGGGGCTGCAAGCAGCTGGGACCCAGAGGCAGGTTTGTCTGGGGGACTGTCCGGAAGCCGGGCC